ATAAATTACTGTCATCGATTTTAATAAGTTTGAATAGTTTTATTGAATTCGAGAAAAATAATTGTAAAGCGATGATGAAATCAATTCGTTTTCTTGCAATTTTTGACAAATGCAAATGATGTTTCAACCAGAGCTGCCACCTCTTCTGCTTTTTAAAGTTTCTTCTGTTTTTTTTCTGTGGTTTCTGCTTTTTTTGATACGGCGTTATTTATCATTTCAATCAACGTTTTTCACCTGAAATACCTTCGTATCCATAAGTATTAAAAACAACTGTATTAAAGACTACTGATATTTTTGTGCCATTCTAATTCGTTCTATTTGATACAGATGATTTTTATTTTCTACTGACTACAAACAACTACCAACCTACATATTTGGCTTTAAATCATTTCTTTTCCTGTGGCTTTCTATAGCATTTTAGTTACTCATGTAATTCATATACATCAACATATATATTCTTTCGTTTGTTTACTCAATGAACATGAATAATTAATATGATCAGTGAGAGGAAAAAAATAGAAAAAACAGCTCTAGATATTAATGGCAGCTCGACTAGCAAAGAAGGTATTCACAAAGTAATGGTAGCTGCTGAAGTAATAATTATGTCACAAGGAGCTAAACCAGAAAATAGAAATTGAATAGAGTTATCTTCAATAGAAAACGGTTAAAAGTCGTCGAATATTAATAATCTTTGAAAGAATATAAATTTGATTCGTCTCAACTAACATTTATCGTTCGTCATCAACAATTTTCCGAACATTGCTAATAAAAAGATAATATTACTAATCCTATGAACAATAAGAAACAATAAAATTTTAAATGCTATGATTTAATCAATAATTAATTTGAATTTCTCATTATCACATACTGTAATGGATAAATATTCATTAGGTAAAAAATATTTGTCAAAAGCTCTTAAATCAGATGAAGAATACTCCTTAAAAAAGAAAATACGTTCAATGATTCTGTCTATTTGTGAATTAGTTACGTTTTGTGATGCCATAAAATACGAGTGATTAGTATACTGAAGCTAAAATTTAAAACTAACGGTAGCTCGTAATAAAAGAGTCTCAGTATTTTGTTAACATCTTAAGCCTTATCTCATCGCTCACGCTTTATTTTTTTATCAAAAGATTCACCGTCTGATTCTGCAGAAATTAGTATATTTCGCTGTAAAAAACACTTATCTCTCTTTCAACATCATCATGATTTAAAACAAGCATTACACACAACTTTCAAAGTCTTCATTTTTTCAATTTTTTTCCAAAATGTCCAGTTTCTCAATTAATCCTGTTCGTTTGGGTATAATTTGTTCGCCACTCAAGAGATAAATTGGTTCATTTCAATCAACGTACCAAAGGCAATTTATTTTATTTCTGGATAAAGAATATGGCACGACCAATCATAATAAAACTAACCTAAGGACTGGATGTTTTTGGAAAAAATTGAAAAAAATAGAGATTCTGAGAGCTGTGTGTAGTGCTGTTTTTAAATCGTGGTGATGTCGAAAGAGAAGGAGATAAGCATTTTTACAACGAAATATGCAATTTGCGCAGAAGAAGATGGTGAATGTTTTGATAAAAAAAATAAAGCGTGAGCGATAAGATAACGCTTTAAGATGTTAACAAAATACTGGGACCCTCTTTTATTACGAGCTACCTGTTATTTTCATACCATAAACATATTTTCTGCTGTTTTTCTGCTTTTCGAATTTCGAAAGGTGGCAGCACTGGTTTCAACTGAGTTTTCAATGTCTTGCTTAAACATTGTTTCTTCATCTTTTCAGAAATATCGAAGAATTTTCGGTGTTTGCCATGGCAACAGACGAAATTACACAACGCATTCTCCGCATCTCGGACATTGATAATGAACCTCAAGAGATACTCGCGCCAATTCATAGCTATGATCAAATGCCATTGATGTCACTTGAAGAAGCCGTACAACCACTCGTTCCTATTCTACCTGCAGTACAAGATTATGCTTATATGGCCAAAGAAAAATGCAAGAAACCCGAAGATGGTTTGACACAAGATGAGTCAGCTTCGATTATGCTCTACTCGATGGGATGGGAACCACTCGAACAATGTCTATATTTTGCTTTGAATGCCGCACTTCGATCAGCAGATAGACAAAATCTTGATCCATGGTACCTCTATCTCAAATTGATTCAAACTGCACTCTCACGTCTTCAATCTCAACATCGATTTGTCTATCGAGGCGTTAAAACAGATTTGAGTGATCGCTATCGA